ATGTATCTGCAATTTCAGATATTTGTAATGATTTTAGCTAGGGCCAAGGCTGGTATTTAAGTAATAATAAAAATGACATATTCCTTTGAGACTGCATTCATAAACACATTTTAGGACTTTCATGCGAAGTATTATTTGATTCCATTTTGCTGATAATGAAACTTAAGTCAGGGTCCAGTGAGATGACTCAGGTTATTTGCCTCATACATCTGAGGGTCTGACTTCAATCCTTGAAATCCAAATAAAGGTAGATAGAAAGAACTGACTCCATAAAGTGTTCTCCACACATGTAGCTTGGCATGTCCCTCTATCCCATCATTACATATAAGTCACACACACACACACACACACACACACACACACACACACACACCACCTCCTCCTCCTCTTCTGCCTCCACCACCATCATCATCATCGTCAGCAGCAGCAGCAGTTTTAAAAATCTAATGTCCCAAGCTGGGCCTCAGAAGTGTAATGGCACAGGAGTACTTCGTACTCATTTGAGTCTCTGTCCACTGGATGAAACAAGCCTTTGCTATTGAAGTAAGCCCTTGGGAAGAAGTGACTTTCCTTTCAGGATGAAAGCAGTCTGAAACAGAGGCCAACAGGGTATTAGTCTTCCCTAACAACACATTCGGAGTGATTTCCCACATGAGTTGTATTTGCTTGCACACACTAGTTTTTTTTTTTCCCTGAATCTCTCAGTGAAAGAAGTAACAGCAGTGATCTCGGGAGGGCACAGAGACTCATCTAGGTACTGTCCCCCACTCACATCTCCTAGTAAGGGAAGCAGTGGCACTCAAAGTCAGCTTTCCCATCTGTCCTGGGAGGGGGCAAGCTCCCAGACAATGTCACAGAGCACATACTTGAATCTAGGCCTGAAAAGCCACTGACGGCAATGTTTCATCCCTGAAAAAGCCTTTCTTGTTCATGTCCAATGGAGGAGGAGAGGAACAAGGGCTTGGTGCAGTCTGTGGGAGAGCCTACCTCTCATGCCGCTTCTGGGAGGTGGTGGGCTAGGAACCAAAATTCTGAGCCTGTCCATAATATCTTCAGGGAAAGGGGTAGAATCTGGCTTGAGGCCATGAAGCAGAGCTGGGCAACAGTGAGAAGGAATCGGTTCCCATGAAGCATTGGGATATGCAACACGGACCATCTAAGAGAGTTTCATGTGAGCTGGGGAGATGGAGCAGTTGGTAAAGCAATTCAAGGGTTTGCTTTGCAAGCAGGAGGGCCCGAATTTGGTCCCCAGAACTCATGCAGAAAAGTCAAAGCTGGGGATGGTGATGCACACTTGTAATCTCAACGCGGATGAGACAGAGAGGTGGGAGGGTCTTCTGGTCAGTCATCCTTGCGTAAGTGACAAATGGGAGATCTTTTCTTGAAATAAGGTGGACAGTCATCCTGAGGAACATGACACCCAAGTTGTCTTCTGACCCCCCCAAGCACATACTGACTTGCAAACATGTGTGTACCTACACACACACATCACATACACAGCACACATACACACCCAAACACAGATGTGCAGCTCCATACTCTCCTACATACATTCAGAGAATACCAAGTGACTGTGTATCCCACACCATACAAACTTTTAAAGGTCTACTTTTCTATATTCTATCTAATTTAATTTATATGTGTTTTCACATTAAGTGTTTCAGCCATGATTTATTTTTAGTATACTGACAATGGATCAAGTCATTGGGAGGCTAGAATCTCCCCAGGCAGTAAATCTGGAAGTAGCCCAGCTTCAAGTTAAGTTCTCTTGACTGTTCTGAATATTTTGAAAGAGGATTCCTGAAAAACCTCGACAGACTTCAGATATTTAGAGCATCCACTTGGGATCCTTTGCCTAATGTATTACTGGGATAAGCCTGAAATCTTCATCTCTTGTGTCACAGAACATTTAATAGTTTCTCTAATAAATGTGTTTCTTAATTTGTTCAAATTACAGTACCTTATACCTTATGGCATTAAGCGAACTCTACCGAAGCAAAATGGTGGTAAGGATATCCTACTTGCTGTTTAGTCGTGAGGGAACAAGGCACCAGCATTGACATGAGCCCTGCATATCTAAAATCCTTCAGTTCATCCAAAGCTGGCTGAGGAGCTCTGTGAGAGGATGGGACAAGTATAGCCACACTAATTATTCTGTTCTTTGATCTGAATTTGGTTTTATTCTTTGGAAGGTTTCAAAGGCAAATGCATTTCTGTGAAGTTTGCATTTCTTCCGTGAAACTTCACCAATGGTACATCCTGGGTTTGACTGCAGACATTAGGTTATTGCAGATATTAGGTTAGCTGAACTCCTTGTCTATCTTCTCCACCTAGACTACTTGGTCTCTATGGCTTGCTGCCACTCCATTTCAGGGAGTGCAAACACCAAGCCTGCATGAACATTTTTTTCTCTCATGGTTGTAAAGGTCAGGCCCCAGTAACTACTAACTCTCCAGACTCTCACACATACCCTGTTGTTCTCAATGGTCCTTCCAATCTATGCCTCAAGCCCTTGATGGATTTAAGGACTGTTGTGGTTTGAATGAGACTGTCCCCCATCATCTCAGACGGGGCTTAGGTGGTCTGACCTTGTTGAAAGAAGTACCTCACTGAGGGCAGGCTTTGAGGTTTCTCTGCCTCGTGCTTGTGGCTTAAGATTTAAGCTCTCAGCTTTATAATCCAGTTGCCATGTCTGCCTGTTGCTGTGGTAATGGTGGACTCTTCTCCTTCTGGAACTTTCAGCCAAAATAAATCCTTACTTCTACAAGATACCTTGGTCATGGTGTTTTATTACACCAAAAGGAAAGTAACTAACAAAAAGACTTTTGTGACATCGTTTTTCTGATTCCTTCTTTCCTTCACATACTCTTTCATGGGAGTCTGCACAGTACAGCCTGTTTAACCTCTAGTCGCACGGTACTCCCACTGTACTGACTGACAGTTCCCACACAGGCTGTGCTCATTTATGCTTCCCCTTCAAGAATGTCAATCTCCACAACCCCTACTTCTCATTTGAGCATGTCACTTTCTCTGAGGAAGTTCTTGGCTCCTCCCTTCCCTCCTTCAGCTAGTGTGAAAATTTCTCCCACTAGCAAGTTGTGTCCTGCACATCTTCTTCCAAGCCCCGACGCTGTCTTGGTGACCACATACATGTCTAGGACTTTTCCTACAATTGTTTTGTAAATTGCCTGTGGATGAAGGGCATGTTCTATTGTCAATAGTCCCTTTGCACCCAGCAAGATGTCTAAAAACAAGGAGGTTTACTTGGAGGCATGCCCTAGATTTTCCTTTCCATGACTTTCTAGTGCTCCTACAAGGTAGGACAAGAAGAATTGAACAGTGATGATGGTAACAATATTCCGGCTGTGCCAGGTCAGCCTCCTGAAGGGCCAGGGAATCAGAGCAGAAGAGAGAAGTGGATCAGAGAGTCTTCCAAGCCTGCTGACTGACATGTAACCAGGATAATGGAAAAATTAGTCAGGGCAGAGCTTATTGTTGATGCTACTTGTTGTTTCATCCCCAGTACCTGGCAGAATCTCTGTCATGTAAATTTTCAACTGATATTTGCTGAATACATGACAGATGGATGGACCGACAGAATGAAAAAGAGATTGACCTGACTGCCATATCCTTCCCATTTTCAACTTTCACTCTCTGTGTAACATGCGTGCGTAGTAAATATAGATGTCTTCTTCAAACAAAGTTGAAATTTGCTATTGGAATTTTTGTTTCACAGCAAACCACAGATGAAACATAATGAGGGACCGGAACGATTGCCCAGTGGTTTGGAGCACTTGCTGCTCTTTCAGAGGACCCAGGTTCAATTGCCAACACCTACACTCAATGGTTTATAACTGCCTGCAGCTCCAGCTCTAAGGGATTCGATCCCTTCTTCTGGCTTCTGAGGGTTCCACACACAGGTGGCTGACATTCACACAGACACATACATTTACAAAATTCATCTTAAAAATAGAGCATAATGATAGCTATTTATGTTTTAAAGAACTAATTCCCTTAAATTCTCAGTTACCAAAACAAATCTTCCATCTACTGAAAGAAATAAAATTCTTGGGAAGTTTGTAGATCACCCTGCCTGAAAATCCTGTCATTCTGTATTCTTAGAATTAGCTATTGAGGAACCGGTAGAATGAATTTATCTTGCACCTCATTCTTGCAGACAGTGACTCCAGGTGGACTTGGGGAACCTAGGTTTGGTTACCAGAGAGATCCAGGGCTCGGCTTTCTGCAGCCATAATGATCAGGAATGGACAAGAGGCTCCAACACTCCCTGACCTGTAGGAGGTGGGCTAGGCTTTTCCTTCTGATTCTTCCAGATGAACTTCTAGGCCCTCTCTTCTTTTTCTAGAGAAGGACAGCTAATTTTATCTTTATCTGTGACTGACACTGCCTTAGTCACTCACTGAGAAGCAGTACAAAAGCCAGTGGGGGGATGAAAACAACCCAAAATAGATCTTTCTTCAACTGATTTGTATCAGGGTTATAAACAATTTGGAGTATGATGGCAAAGGAGACAGGCAAGAGCTTGTAGGCAATGAGAACAAAGCGCCCCTCCCCCACATCTGTAGTCTGTATACTAAAGCAAACATCCTGGAAGCCCTCAAAAGCCTTTGCCAGATGTTTGCCTTCCCTCTTTCCCCTCTCAGGTACCTGCACCTTGCATTCTGCCCTAGCTGTTACCTCCATTCTTGCAGGGAACATGTTATAATGCAAATCAGTGCTGCCAACATGACTCACTATTTTCTTCTCACAATGGAATATGATCACATCAATTATGTGTCAGTCAGCTTCTAAATGCAAACCTTTGTCGCACTGACCTCACTCTGCTTTTGTAGTGTCAGGGTTCTCCTGACGTTTATCCACTGAGCTAGCTCCCCACATCTCTCACCTATTATCTTTTCACTCCAGCACCTTCCCAGACCTCCCTTCTATGAACCCATTTGACCAGAAAACTCAGGGAGGCTGCACTCCCTGGCACTCACCATTGCTTGTAGTCTGCATCACAGTTGCAGTAGTATTTGGGATCTGTGCAGTTGCGCTCAATACCACAGGCACACTTCTGAATTCCAGGCTCTGAGCCTCCCCAGTAGTAGTGCTTCTCATTGGCTTTGCCAACCCACCAAGTGTAAGGACTTCCATCTGCAGGAAAGGGTAAAGTCACAGTTAGAGAGGGGCCTAAACTGTATCATTATAACATCACCCTTGTCCTCTCTTCCTAGGAGGTACAGCAGCCTCTGATAGACTGAGTGACACATGTCCACCTTTAAAGTAAAATCAATTCAGTAATAGAAATATTTAATTAAAAAAATCAGAAAGAACATCGAATTTCAAGTTTCTCCTTTGCTGTCTCTATATCTTCTTGGATGCAGCTTTGACATTCAAGTACCTATAATGTAGGTATTAATCCAGTGAGTTGGAATCCTAGAATGCATTGCAGGTATATCGGCCATTTTGCAATATACAACTAACTCCTTAGCTGACTTTGCCTTTCTGTGAACTGATACAAATATGGAAATAAAAGATGACTAAAGCTAAGTGTGGGCTTTGTCATGTCTTAAGTTTGACCTCTTAATTTTATTCATGAAGAACTTTGGTCTAGAAAGGTTAAACCCTACTTTTATTATCCAGTAGATTAACACCCCACATCAAAAGTCTGACACCATATCATACAACACTTGCTATCTTTTATGAAGTCAGCTCTCTTTGTCCACAGCATCCATGTCCATGCAATCAACAAGTTGTGAATCAAAGAGGTTTGGGGCGAAAAAAGACAAAAAAACAAACAAACAAAAAACAAACAAAAAACAAAACAAAACTTGTCTCTGTGCCAACCATACACAGACCTCTCATAGTGATTCCTTTAGTAGCTATGCAATAAGTATTTACATAGCATTTACCTTGCATTAGTGACTAGGACTGATCTAGAGATGCAGCACATTAGAGAATATGTGGGTATATTGGTTGTCCAAAGTGTGATATAAGGAACCTGAATATCTTGTCTACAGATGTTGGCCTCTACCAACCTCTTCCAAATCCCATACCTCTTCCATTCACTTAATCATTCCTTTGCCTGTTCCACAAACTCCATTGTGTTTCCATTGTGTGCCAAACAGTAGAACAATGGAGGAGAAATGCAGGTTGGGGAAACAGATGAATGAGTGCTGTGAACGAGGGAGAGGCAGTGAGGTAAAGGAGGGCATGGTTATTGCTTTCTCTGAGCTCTGTCTTGTAGACGCATTGGGCAAGATCTCAGTGAACCAAATGCAAGAGGAAAGGAGTTCTGTATCGAATGGAGCAGCAGGTAAGAATTCATACAGGAGAGTTTTATGTACAGAATTTATGCAGAATCAAGCATGTGCTACTGAGTAAGGCCGGTCGGGGGAGGCAGCAGAAGACAGAGCTAGAAAGCCAATGAGGGCTCAGCTGTAAAGTCTTTGTCCAAATGAGAAATTGTTTCATACTGACTAGTTCTTGCTTTTCAAAGCTTCTTTTCTGCAGCTTAGGAAGCCTGAACTTTATCCTGAGACAATGGGAGGCCACTGAAGAATTTGAAGCAGGGAATCATTACTGTTCAGTTTGGAATTTAAAAATCTAGAGTAAGATACAAGATGAGTTTCCGTGTGCTGAAATCAGGGAGGGCAGATGTGATGTTCTCTTAACAACGAAGAAGGGAGCTAATAGCATGGAATTGAGAGAGGAAGGCGGGAAAGCAGAAAGCATCTGGGATAGCTGGGGGAGCTGGGGTTTGAGAGGGGAGGGGAAGCAGAAGACATTGTGAACTCTGGGCTTCTGGTCTCAGTAACCAAGGACACTGGTATGCTTCATAAGGGTAGGGAAGACATTTTGAAGTTCAACAAACGTTGAAAAAAGATGGAAGTCTGCCACATACTTCAGGCAATTGGATGCAGATATCCAGCCCTGGGAACATTTCCTGAGCTGAAAGTCTTGCTTCAGGAACCATCAGAGCAAGCTGGAAAACACCCGGAGAAGAAGAGACACAGGTGGGATCTTTAAGACTGTAACAGCGTTGCAAACCATGCTGGGATCCTACAGAAGGCTGCCTTAAGACATGGAAGGAAAATGAACCCACTTAAAGAGAATGGCAGGAAGAAAAGCCTGGAGACAGAAAGGATGAGAGGGGCGACTGAGAAGATGCTAGCCATGGGGCCTTTTTCTTTCATTTTATGTGCTGAGAGCACTCAGTGGGAAACCTTCCTTCTTAACAAATGGTCTAAGTATTTGATTCAGCATGCTAATCATAACTACAGTTGTCCAGAAACACTCTAGGACCCACTCACCTTGTTTAACAGAAACTTTCATTCATCAGCAATGGCCCTGTTTCCTCTATTGTAGCTCCACTAATATCCATTCTCTTTGATTCTGTGATTTGCTGCTTTGGGATCCTGACACAATTGACACGATGCACTCAGTATGTATGTCAGTACACAATGCAATTTCCTTTCTGCTTTCTCCTTCTGTCAGTCTTCATTCCTATTTTATTGTTTCTATATGGAAATAACTCTATTCTTACATACAAAAGGAAGAAAAATCTGCAATAGGTAAGGATGTGGAAGAATTTGGGGGATATCCTAAGAAAACAGATGATAGAGGAGACTAGAAATTATGGGATTTGTGAAGGCAGTGCCAGGCAGCAAGTCAAAAAAGTAATCTATTAAAATCTCTAGGTCTGGGGTGAAATTACTTCCTAAGAGTCTACCTCAACCTGTCCTTTCAGGGTGCTAAGTACACACTTGTACCTGTCAGTGCTCTGAAGAAAGATGTGGGGAAGCCTTACATTCTTCAACTGCCAACTGGGTAATCACGACATCTAAACAAATAATATCCTAATCACCACGATGGAATACGCACACGTTTCTGTGATACTGAGCCGGGTAGTTTTCCTCAAGAACAGTTTTGTTAAAAGGCAGGCAGTTTAAAGCCACTGAAAATGGTTCTGGCGCCAGGGTTGTGTTCCGTGTGATGAGGAAACCAACATTCAAACTTGAAAATGAACAGTCGGATATTCTATTCCATATAAGTACTCACTTAATTTAGAAGGTTTAGTGTTTTCCAGGTTTTGTTCATCATGGGGGAACTTAAGAAACTGAACTTGATTTGGTAGGTAGCCAAGAGAGAAAGATTTGACCTCTGTTTCAAAGGGAGAGAGAAGCCTGATCTCTGGGATGATGTGAATATATGCTGTGAATATATGTTTCTCTTACTGGTTGATGGATAAATGCTGATTGGCCAGTAGCCAGGCAGGAAGTATAGGTGATGCTAGCAGACGAGGAGAATTCTTGGAAGAGGACAGAGAGTGAGTCACAAGGGAGATGCCATGTAGCCGCCAAAGGATTAACATGTCCAAGCTTTACCAATAAGCCATAGCCTTATGGCAATACATAGTTTAACAAAAAATGGATTAATAATTAAGAGTGAGCTAGCCAATAAGAAGGCCAAGCCATTGGCCAAGCAGTTTATAATTAATATAAGCCTCAGTGTGTTTATTTGGGACTGCACGGGCCAAGGGGGGGCAGACCCCCCACCACCACCCAGCCACTCTGCAGCTGTGTCCGATCCAGAGGGGCCCTGTCTCAGCAGAGAAGGCATTTGGGTTTGAACTCTGTATTAAAATGATTTTGCTTCAAGGTCTCTTCTCTTTTTGTTAGGGTCAGGGAAAAGTACCAGAGTTTTTATGTTTCCCAATATCAAAGCTATGACCCATGTTACGATATTGTTTTTGT